AGGCTGAGTAATATTTCATTGTGTGTGTTTATTTTATATATATATATATATATATATATAACATTTTCTTTTTAAATATTTTTTATTGGGCACAATACTTTTATTTTGTTAATTTATTTTTATGTGGTGTTGAGGATTGAACCCAGTGCTTCACATGCATAAGGCAAGCACTCTGCCACTGAGCCACAATCCAGCTCCTATACCACATTTTCTTTACCCATTCATCTGTTGAAGGCCATTTAGATAGGTTCCAAGTTTGGCTATGTGAATTGAGCTATTATAAACATTGATGTGACTGCATTGCCATAATATGCTAATTTTAAGTCCTTTGGGTATAAACCAAGGAATGGTATATCTGGGTCAAATAGTGGTTGTATTCCAAGTTTTCTGAGGAATCTTCATACAGCTTTCCATAGTGGTTGCACCAATTTGCAGTCCCGCCAGCAATGTAAGAGTGTACCTTTCCCCCGAGTAGTGGTGCACACCAGTAATCCAAGTGGCTCTGGAGGCTGAGGCAGGATTATTGTGAGTTCAAAGCCAGCCTCAGGAAAAGTGAGGCACTAGGCAACTCAGTGAGACCCTGTCTCTAAATAAATATAAAATAGGGCTGAGGATGTGGCTCAGTAGTTGAGTGTCCCTAAGTTCAATCCCCAGTAGCCCCTACCCCCCAAAAAAGAGTGTACATTTCTCCCCACTCCTTGCCAACATTTATTGTTGCTTATACTCTTGAAAATTGCCATTCTGACTGGAGTGAGATGAAATTTTTTAGTAGTTTCGATTTGCATTTCTCTGATTGGTAGAGATGTTGAAGATAATTGATTTTGTTTCAAAAACACTTTATTTGACACTGATACAAAGATTGGTCCTTGAAGGCAACAAGTTTTCATTATCTGGGAATCACCCATTCATTCATTCCTCTCACATTTTGAGCATTACCTGAGTGAAACTTTACTTTTGGACAGAAATCGTTTTCCTGATATTGGTTACCTGCTCTTTGTCAAATCTGATTCCACATGTCTTTTTTCCATGATTTCCTATAATTAAACATTCCTTTAAAAGATGAAGAATGCCTCATTTTTGTTGATTCCTCCTAGTCCTCCATTTAAGGAATACCTTTGAAATTTATTGAGCATAGTTTTCTTTGTGAAATTTCATAGACAAAGATTACAGAAAAAATATTAAAACTTTATGGCCATTATCTACCATTTAATATCCCTCTCTTTGTTCTAAAAGATAATGCTATATTTCCTGTTTTCTAGTCTCTGATTCCTGTCTTGTTGTTTTTATTCCAAAATCTTTAAACATGATGAATGAGGAGTTTCTTTTCCATATGATAGAATTTGATCTTGCTTATATTTTCCTTCTACTATCTAGGTTGCTGATTAGAAGTTACAACTGTTAAAATGACCCTAACTTAGATGTCATCCTAAAAATTTTTACTTCCCTTTTAGTTCTCTAAGAGGGTGAAATCTTTTTTTGTTTGTTTGTTTTTGTTTTGTTTTGTTTTTGGTACTAGGGGTTAATCCCAGGGGCTCTTTTCCACATCCCTTGTCCTTTTAATTTTTTATTCTGAGACAAGATCTCACTAAGTTGCTGAGGTTCTTCTTAAATTGCTGAGGCTGGACTCAAACTTGCAATCCTCCTGCCTCATTCTCCTGAGTCACTAGGTTTACAGTCTTGCACCACCAAGCCCAGTTTAGGGTGAAATCTTCATCAACAAATGCCCCGTTGGTGTGAATGCAACCACATTAAAATATGTGTGTTTTCATGAATTGTGCACAAGGGCTAGATCTCTCACAATATCCATAGACCCCACCTAGACTGGAAGTTAAACTCAAGTGCAGGTGAAATTTGAAAGTCTTCTTTAGTCCTGCCATGGTTTCCTCTCTCAGTGTACCTTCTCTGTTCATATTAACTGCTTTCTGTCTGTGTAAACCTCCTTTTATTTCCTTCTTCCAAATGAGACATACTAGTGATCTTATTTATTTAAATGTTATCTCTGCTGTGTCTTTTCATTTAAAACCTTTGATGTTGATTTGTGAAATGGACATCTTTTTCCTGCTCAGTCTCAGAAACTGAGACTTCACTGAGGCATCAGTGAAGGGGTGGGGCAGGAGGAAGAGAAGATGGAAAGTACACAGGCAGTGACTCCAAAGACCTGAAATGGCAGATGGAAAACCCTCCACCATAGCCAATGTCGGAAGATGTTGATAWCGACCACTGACTCTGTACCGACTTCTCCTTCATTATTTTTCTCATTTTTGCCAACTCTGAAAGCATGTCTGACCTCCAGGGACACGTTCTTTTTTTCCTGTGTCAAGTGTGGAAAAAAAAATGTCTTGTTGTCAGAGTTGTGTTGAAATAAAATTGGCATTTGGGGGAAACAGCATTGCTAGGAAACTTAGGAGTGGTGGGAATCACAAAGTGCTGAAGCAAGCAGGTTTTGGCAGTCTGGTAAAACAGAGAAAGATGAAGAAGCCTTGTTGTCCTAAGAGGTCAGTTCAGATGCACAGCTGGACTTCAGACTACAGTTTCTCAAAGTGGTACTCACAGGCCACCACCATCAGATTCTCTTGGGTGATGCTTCTGAATGTATAACATAGGGCCTAGGTCAGAATGAATATGATGGGACCTAGAAAGCTGCATTTTAAGAGATTATACATGAATCTTCTCATTAAATTAAAGATGGCCTGTTTGCCATTCTGGTTCTYCATTCTCCAGCCTCTCAAGTCTTTTGTGTATGCACCTGAGAGATACATCCTCTAGAGGTGATTGACTAACTCTCACCAGACATATAAGAAACTGAGGCATAAACCAGAGCACCAGTTTGAACTTTGGCATCCAGTAGTATGGGGATGCTTCGGCAGCAGAAGGGGGGGACTGCTCATGGTTGGTGAAGCTCAGTGTATATTCCTTGAYTCTTTGCATATGTTCCCCTGAAAGTCTTCTTTTCTTTCACCTTCAGACCTATTTTCCCTTCCCAAGAAAAGCATGAACAATTAAATTTTATCTTTTAAACAGGCTCAGTTGTCAACATGCTCCAGAAAGATTTTCATTGCCCCTGCCCACCAACCCTAGGAACCTCCTCTGGGACACAGGTCATACCTGACACAAAACTAAGTGGTGGCCCTAAATGCACTGTTGTCATCTGCTTACTTATATGTCTCTCCCCTATTAGGCATTGAATTTAATTGTCCTTATAAAATAGAGCTGCGCCCAGACCCTGACCTGGAGTTACYACTCCATAATAAATGATTGTCAAATAAATGGCTAAGCCTCGAGAACATGTGAGGTTCCTTGACGCACATTCTCCTCCATTTTCATCATCTCTGCCATCAGGAATTTGGTTTTGTGCAAAATTAAGTATGTTTGTATTAGAATCATCTTCCTGTGATCCTCATAAAAATGTGTTTTGAGTACAAAATAAATAGGATAAGGAGAAAATTGGGATGCTTAGGGGATCTAAATACTTACAAAGTAAAATTTCTTAAATGCCATGAAATGCTTTCAAGAACTCCAAGTAAATTTAAGAGGGGACCGACTGGATTTTGGCTAAGTGCTGGGGGRAAAAAAAAGTGTCCTTAATTCCCTATCCAAATATTTCAACTTAAATTTACTGGTAGCTATTTCTGAGGAAGACAGGGACTCTACAATCCTTAGTTTGTTATAAAGAAAATGTTTTTGTGGTCAGATGTTTAGGGGAAGGATTAAAGGCAATTTATGGCTTGGGTAGAAAGTAATAAAAGTGGTAACAATGGAGTGTCATCTAAATTGTCATCATATTCTGGAATTACTAACAGTATCAACCTGGCAAGCATTTTACATCTAAAAGGAATTACTTTCATTTGTCATGCTTTAAGGTAAACTTAACATCAATCTTGAGCTTCTAACCTGAACTGTTTGTTTCATTCTATTGTTTAAGAAGAGAAGTGAGTCCATTGTAGAGAAGATGAATTCTGCCTATAAACCATTTGCCACAGGACTTAAGAAATATATTTATAATTCTTCTTTATCAGGAAATTAGACTGATAATCTACACAAAAATGTATTTTCTTGAGATTAAACCATAGCCTGTTCGGTTTCTCCAGAAATACATCAGTTTTAATTCCCATGGGGAAAAAAATCACAAGATTAAAAAAGTTAATTAACCTGATAAGTTATATTTCTTCTTGTAGCACCCATTTTTAATAAGAATCCAGTTTACAGAGTCCTATTTGTTTAATTAGAGCAATCATAACTTTTTATAGTGCCTTACAATTTATAAAGTAGTTTTAAATGAAATTCTGTTTAATCTTTGCAACAACTGTGTATAGTAATAATGTAGTAAGTTTCTAGGTGATTGATTCCTTCCATTATTTGAGGGAGTCTCAAGGTTCACAGGTGTTAGGACATTACCAGGATCAAATAGCAGTGCCAAATAATGCAGGATTTGTCTCCAAGCAGGCATCCTCTCTGAAGTATACCTCTGGTAAATCCAGTGCTACTTTCCTTGGAATGTATGTACAAAAAGAAAACCTACAAGTGTTAAAATGTTATTACTGCTCCCTCTTTCATTTCTCTCGAAAGTTAAACAATGATTGGCTCCTATGCTCAATGAAGTTCAGTTTTTAGAAACTGCCCAACTATTAGTTGCAAATGACTTTTATGTATAGGTAAGTGTGGCACGGACAATGAATCAGAAGTAGTTTTAAATAAGCACGTGATATCCTTTAATTAGGTAATGCTTCTGATTTATGTAATGGTGCCAAGCCTATGTATGTAATGGAGAGCCAATCTCAGGGCTCACCCTCATCCAGAGATGGAGACTCTCTACAGGAATAAGCCTGAATGGCAAAGGCAGTTGATGTTTTAAAGTCAGTATCATTCAACCTCCCTTTGCCAGTGGTATTTCTCTGATAATTCAAATTCTTAATGAGTTGATGCTTGTTCACCTAATTTAAGATGGATTGTAGTGATCTATGGAGATTGCTCTTTAAATAAATTGTCTTCTTCCCTCTCAGAGTAAAAGAAGCCGAAGAGGTATGCAGGCAGAAGAAAGGAAAATCACTGTATAAAATAAAACCAAGACATGACTCTGGAATTGTGAGTATTTAACTGTTCTTTTGTTTGTTTGTTTGTTTGTTTAACTTGTGATTTTCTTTAGCTTTGGAACCTTGTCTTCATAATATATTCAAGCTTATGTAATAATACTTTAATTACTTTCCTCTTAAGTTTCAATAAATGATGAGCTTCTGATTCCAAGAATCTCCTTTTCTTTATGTGTTTAGCCAGGCCCAGCAAGTTATGAGAATCTCAGTCTTCAATATTTTAAACTTAAGAATTAAGATGATCTACTAAGTGTGTACATGTTTGTGGACATGTGATCATTTCTGTGGGGCAAGAAGCCATCTTACACTTTSTTCATTGCATAGTCATCATGGACAAAGGCTGCATTTTAACCTAGAGTACCTGGGATATGGGATTCAATGCATTGGGATCTGAAACACAAGGGGAAATTCGATGTGCAGCATTGTGCTTTGCCCAGGGTGCTCAGACCTCGTCCATAACCTAGCAGCTCTACAGAGTTGGCTGTATCTGACAGTTGTTGATACATAGGCTGAATTTAACAAACTAATCTGTTTTCTTCTTGACCACTCCCTCCCTTAAAATAAAATTTCAAGTTGCACACCCTGGGAGAGAAGGTCTTGGTTAAAAGGACAGATTTTCCCTATGATAATTTAGATGTTTTGATGAACGTTTTAATTGTCATTTGCTGCTAATGCAAGTAAATGGTGCTGTTTTAAATGAAAAGTTGAGTTACATCTTCAGGTAGGAACATTTTGAATTAGATTAATGGATTGTAGTCTAAGTGAAAAAGACATGATAAATTGAGATACAATTAAATAGCTCTATTAAGAAAAAAGGAATTAAATCTTCATTTGAAATGAAATGAAAAGGTCTAATTTAAGCTACTCTGAATACCTTCCCTTTTTAATTTTTAAGTTCTTCTAACTACAACTGTCGTCTGGTGCATTTATTTTCAGAAAGCAAAGATAAGCATGAAAACATGAACAGTGAATGGCACAACAATGAAAATGAGTCATCGCAACAACTTCCACAAAATTCAGCTGACCTGAGGGTGGGAAGAAAACTACATCATTCTGATCATTTTTCTTCTTAACCTTTTAGTTTGTAGCTTCAGTGCAAAGAAATACTAGTGTTTTTTTCTTGTTGTTGTTTTGTAGTTTTCCTGTCCCCTCAGTTCCCTCCAATGTGTATAATACCGTTCTTCAATGAAGTAATAGGACATTTAACAAAGATCACTATGTGCAATACTGTATTTAGTGTTTCTATGTCAATTTTTTAGGATGTTAATTTATATGAAAATAAAATGAATAATAAAACATTTCTGTGTCTGTTGTGTGCCTATGGCCTAAGAATACCTGGAAAATATAGCCATTATATTTAGAATTTAAAGGAGGAGAGATAAGGAAAGGAGGGAAAGTAAGTTATTCTGCACATTCACATGTACAAAAATCTTGCATATTTCAGGGATTCAATACTTAAGTCCAGAAGTGGTACCTAAGTACAAAAAAATCCTGATAAAATATTTACTGCTTTTTGCCTAAACTTGGATTTCTTCCTGAGCTCCAGAACACTTGCTGGTCATCTCCAATTAGATATATCACTATATCCTTACAATTCATCATGTGCAAAACCCAGCTCAGCTTGTCCTCTTGCCCCTTCAAACAAGCTCGTTCTTCTGTGCCATCTATCTCAGGGAACAAAGCCACCACCCACTCAGAAAGCAGTCTTTCTTCACTTCTCACTATCCCTTTTGTCATGCTCCTGTGATGATTTGGGTGTCCCCCAAAAGTTCAGTTGTTGGAAGCCTAATGCAGCAGTGTGAGGGGATGGGCCTAATGGGAAGGGTTTGCATTAACAATATACACTGTAAAACTGTAAATAGTGTCTTCAAGTCATGGATGGAAAACAGTGAATCAAGACAATTATACCTGTATCATTCATATCAAAGGTGAGATACATATTTTTCAGACACTAAAAATCAATRGAGTTAACTATCCAAAAACCTAACTGAAAGGTCTGCTAAAGGTCATATCCAGTAAGGAAAACATGAAAATAAACTGAAGGACTGAGATGTAAGAAATCACATCACAGAAGCTGATGGAGTAAATAAACTCTAGATTRTAAACAATAACAACTATAATTTTTGTGTTTAAAAAGAATACTGTCATTTTAGATGGATAACAGGATGGAAGGAATTCAGGGAATAATTTAAAACATGCTAAAGGTCTTGTCTTATTCTCTTCATTTATTTGATTCAGTAAATGTTTGCAGAGTCATTAGTACATGCCAGAAACTGCTGTATACTTTGGGAATGATGGACACAGAGAAAATGTCCTATCCCCGTGGAACTTACATTCTAGTGGGGCAGACAAACCAAAAACGTGGTTTAAAGTACTGTCAGGTACTATGGCATTTAAGAAGGGTGACCAATAACTTGAGCTTCAAGCTGGAACTGCTCTCCCCAAAACTGGTCATCCTACTTCTATGTGCTATGTGAGCTTTAAGTGCTACAAAGAAAAAAAWWAAARRWWAWWWTKRA